ATAAAAAGTTTAGATTAATCCACAGTGGAGTCAATCATGCAATGATCTGATGTTTAGCATTTTTACCTCAGAGTAATGAAGCGTACAAACTATCTACAAGTTTGCACTGGTTTCTCTCACCATTGAAACACATGATAGGTAAACCTTGATTATTTTAGCCTACAGTAGTCCACAGTTGCGTCACTATTTTTGACACTTCTTGTGGAAAATAGCACAGAATTAACGGCTGTCGCTGTCGTTTATCATATTCAAATACTTGTAAACACAAAAACACATATACACAAGAGCACAATGTCTCTAATGCATGATAAGAAATATCATTCCCCTTCCATCACATCCATGTCTGCACTCCCTCATCCGCTCTCTCTCCCTCTTATTCAAAACTTTTCGCTCACAGTTCCCTCTCCTCAGACAAGAGGGTCCATTGTATTTCCTGACATGCCCTGGAGTCCCAGGCCCAGCATGCATTTGCACAGTGTGTGTGTGTGTGTGTGTCCCAGTTAGAGAACAGCTGTCACATCCAGCCATCACATGCCGCACAGCTGAGACAGAGCGCTACCTTCCCCGTCAACTCCCTCCATCTTTGTCCCTCCTTCCCTCTTTCATAAACAAATCTATCCAATTCCCCTCTGTGTTTCCCTTCTGCTAATCAAAATATCTCAGATTCTTGTCACACACACTAATAATCCCTCTCTTTTTCCCTCTTTTCTTTTAACCTCCCACTTCATCCTTTTTGTCCAGACAGAGTAGGAGTTGGGGCCACATTCTAAAAACACAGCCTGAAGAGAGGATCAGACTTCCAGATAGAGTACTTCAATATGTGTATAGATTTCAAAACAGGTATTTAATTTAATTTTAACACAATACAACACAGATTGGCTTCTTTAAAACAAACCAAAATATATATTATTTAATTTTGTATGTTGATTATGTTGCACAATATACACTCATTTCTTCTTTCTTCCGTTATTACTACTGAAATTCAAGCATATTTTGCACTCACACATTGAAAATACCAAAACATAAATCTTTAGTGAGTGATGGCGAATGCTCTTAGACTTCATTTATTCACTAAAGCAAGTTCTTGCCTCCCATTAAATTGTGTGAAAAATTAGCTGAGTCATCAACAAACAACAGCTCTTCTTCTAAGGTTGTCAAATAACATACTGTAATCTGACAGTCTCCACTCTGCAAGATTTACTGAACAATTTCTGAGTTTTAGACTAAGCGATCAGTTTTTGTGTTGCTGCGAAACACTAAGATTATCTTAGCTGGTCAAGTGGAAAGATGGATGCTACAGGTGCCTATTATAATTTACTTTAAGGCAGCATTTGTATATTTGCAAAATGAATCATAGCGCTTATGGCATAGCACAATTGTTTTCTGCATACTGACTTTAATTGGGTGGGCAAAGCCAAGTAAAGGGTGGAATATTTTTTTTAGTCGTTTGAGAGAACTGCATGATCACATAAGTAATGGGTAATCTCCAAGTTCTTGACAGCAGACCCACCAGGTCACATTTGTGGTGATCATCAGTGACATTTCTTTGCCTATCAAGAGTGACTCTGTTAGAGAAACTCCAGTTTCACTGTTGTGGGCAGCAGCAGGTGACAATATTCTTTGTTCTGCTCTGAAGCTCAGTTGGGCTCACAGACTGTACATAAAAGATGGATCTAGTCACCATCACTTACTGGATAATAAATGTGCATTGTGAAACCTCAACCTAGCTTTATGAATCATCATCAGCTTAGATTTGGGAAACCAGAGGTCACAAGATCATGGAGGATCTGTCGTTGGAACCACGGAACATGGCATAATCTTTCTTTCTTGTGCTAACAGGGGCCAAAATGTACATATTAACTTCCTGTTGTTTTCACTATTATTCACAACTGCCAACTGAGATGATCGCCTCATTATGAAAACGTTTACTGAGGCCCTGTTGGCCACTACAAAGAATACAAGTTGCGTTTCAGACCAGAAACCTCCACCTTTCAAACATCTCCCTGTACAGGGACACTACAACCACACTAATCTGCAGCAGATGATAACTAGAGCCACTGCAGCAAGCTTACTGAGCAGAACAAGGATTGTCACCATCTGGCACAGATGAAGAGAAGCTCACTGATGAAGCAGCTAATTATTGCTCCATTATTTTGAAATCACAAAGTGTATATGTATATATAAATATAGTGTCATTCTTCAGTAAGTGCTGCACTCCACAAATAAACATGCAATTTCTATTTACCATATTAGCTGTTATTACATCAAATGGCAGATTTCTCAATAATTTATTATTATTCATATAATTCTAATTGTCTACATATTACACTAAAACTTATCAACTTCAAAAGTGCAGTTATTTGAGTTATTTTATCATGCCCAAG